AGAGGAGCGGGTATCCTTGACTGTGAACCAACTTCCTCTGCCATACCTTGCCTTCAGCTCTGCCAGCTTGCTCCTGCAGCCTGATTATTCCAACCCACAGGAAAGGCACCCATGCATAGATTTGACAGGCTCCCTGTGTTCACCAATATGTGATATTTGTGTTTTTTCTTTGGTGCAATACGTATTCATTTAAAGAAATGTTCAATAGACTCAGATTGAAACTGAAACCGAACTCCAATTTTATATAAAATAACTGAGCAGGGAGGCACCAGCTGCCATCCTGTAATACACTCAAAATGACAAATCCACTGTGCAGGTAAAACACTTCTTCATGTCTATGTCCACTGTCAGAGGGTTGTAAAACGCTAAAAGTGAAATCCATAATAAGCTATGTGGTTTCTGGCCAGACTCTAAAAAGCTTAGAGGAGGCTTTCGGACAATTTTAAACTTTTGTTATGCTGGTGAAAACTGATTGGATTTTGCCACATAATATTCACAATCCGCTAACCGTATGCATACAGAGCAGAAAAAGTGTTTGAATTCATATACATTCAGCTTATTCCGCTAATCTGTTGGGATTTACATCCTGATGAATTCAAATGAAAACATTTAAATAATGCAACACATTGTATGGTGTGATATATATGCATTAATATGCATGCGTGTATAGTGCATACTTATTTTTGAAAGACCTTTCAGGATTCCAGCACATCAGTGTTTGCAACATTGACTTTCTGTTAAAAAAATTATATATATATGAATTGCAGTTGTTTGATCATATTTCTATTATGACATTTAAACAGTTTCATTTACAATATTTTCATGAATCAAGAATCAAAGTGTCTCGGTTATGCTTTCTTGCCTGGACAGAAATCATATAGCCTATTTTATATTTCAGCTTTCACAACCCTTCGACAGTGGGCATACACATGAAGAAATGTCCTTCAGGAATTCAATCTAATAAACAGAGTAAGGGTCCTAACCATAAAAGTGAATGGGTATACTTTTGGGCCAATATTTGAAGGAAAATTAAACATTTCACAAGGCACTTTTGTATTTTTTATGACTTCCCTCAAATCCCTCCTTAATCAAGAAAGAATGTTTCATGAATATTATGAAGGAGGGAATTATTTATCTTTAACATCCTTGACTCTTTGTCTGTAGTTTTGATGTCTTTGGTTTTGAAACCAGATTAAATGCTGTAATAAAAAAAGAGTCACTTTCGTTTTTTCTCAGCTTTGCCCTCATAACTGCCCCCACACGTTATGGTCAAACACACACTTATGCTCAAATGTCACCTGCAGGTTGTACTTGCCAAAAAGTCTGACGAGATAAGAAATGATGAAAGGCTCCGTGCTCAAACAAAAGAAAAGTTCCCTTGGCGTTATGGGAGCTTTTTGTGCTCCGCAAGAGGGAAGGTGATGAAACACTTGAGTAGAATGAATGTCAGACCAAACCATAGACACTGTGGCCAACAAAGAAAAAAACACAGATCATACCATTTACATTTCTGATGCAACCAGCCCACCGGTCTGCAAACACACCACATGTAGCCGCCACGTGGCTAATTAGCATTACTAGCCTGCTGCCAATTAACCTGTTAACTGGCTCTGGCAGCCTGTCGGGTGTCAGCATCAGCTGCCTTTGGTGAAATATGTTGTGATGACTCTGGTGCAGGGAAACATCATCACCTCACACAGGGGCTTGAGTTCCAAATGGGGCCCATGCCAGGTTTAAGGGTATTACAATTCAGAGAGGAGACAATAAATAGATTTACAGTAACTCTACATAACAAAAGATCTATTCTGTCACTACAGCATATTAAACATGTAGGCAATGAAGCGCTCCATAGGCTGCAGCCATAGATAAGAGTCCAGCACTGCTTTTAGGCAAAATACTAATAGTGTAGTTGTTTTAAGAAGGATGAGCCTGCAGGAAATGACGCTCGGCATTATGGAGCATGAACAGAGCTGCTGAGGCTGAGGTCTTGTCTACAGTATCACTGCAGTGTGGGATGCTGCACACTGCAATTTAACTGTCTATTAGGCTGTGATCGCACCGAAGACGCATGGACCTTATTACCTTCGCCGGGGAGGTTATGTTTTCAGGCCCATTAGGTGGTTTGTTTGTCTGTTAGTGAACACAATATCTCAAATAGATCTAGATGCATCCGTAGTTTATTAAATGGAGGTGTAAACCCTGCAAAAAAATTATATTTGGCCTCAAATCATTGCTTCTCTCAAATTACTGATCTTTGTGTAAAAAATGTAATCTGGCACATAATGTGTAATCATTCTCTACCTCTGTGTTTTTGCAGCAGCCCCTGATTGTAATGCATTCTGACCATTTTATAGCACATTTGAAGGATTGTGCACGCTTGTTGGAGGTGTGCTGCTTGCTACACATTATTTAAGGGTACTGGTGATCCTAATGTGTCAAAACGTAAGCCACATAGCATCAATATTTAAATTTGCCCTTGAAATGGAGACCATCTTTGCACAGCTTTCGGAATAAATGGTAAAAGTCACTGTGCCTCATGTCTCTGGCAGGATGTCCTGAATGTCAATATGTTGCGAAACGAAGCTTTCTACTGCATGTCCATTTCATTTCCACGCTGTTGTGTTAGCTAACAATGCTACTAGTATTATAGCAAACATGTAGTCATTGCAGACTTTAAACTATTGCTGTCCAAGTTACAGTATTTATAGCAGGAGTGCACCATTTTGGCAAGCCATCTGATACAGCCAAATGTTGAAAGAGGAATTAAATGCAGCATTTTATAATGTTCACTAAAAGGAATAAAGAGGGTGAAGGGATTAGTTGAGCACAGCGATAAACTATGCTGTCCATTTTACGAGCAAGCCACCTTCAGTCTGCACAGATGGGAGACTCCAAGTTTCTGCTCTCATTCTAAAGTCAAGATTTGCATCTGACATTTAAATATAACATTTTGTTATATATTTCATTCATTATTGTGGAAACTTATTCTTCAGTCAAGATAAAACTGAGATGGAGCATCTGGGCAGACCCAGTTGGAAACATAGACTTAATGAAGTCCATTTATTTGTTATATATGTGTGGTAATGCTAGGAAAGAAGCAACGTTTCGATGGGCTCATGGGCTGCTGCAAAACAACAAACTTGTTATGCAGCCAAATTACCTTCCCATCCTTTTAACATCACTTATATTTACCATTGTATTAATGTCTTTCCTTATAATGTGATAATCATATTCACGTCCAATTATCATTTTCCCAGATAATGGAGGTTCCTTGAATAAAGCATCCAAAGATCTTTAATGCAAGTAACATGTATTTGTAAGTTCATTTATAATGTATGTAGTAGGAAATCTTCTAAAAAAAGATATGTTGGGCTTTTCAAATAAAACCCCCCAAAAGATTGGCTGTTGTGCAACGTCGTCACAGTTTATAGTTAATAGCCTATTAAACATGCTTGATAATTTAACCCTGACCACAATCCACTCCACAGAGGGGCACGTGTTGAGAGGGCATGGCGCCACATGGATGTGTCATCAGGTCGCAGATGGATATACTGCTCATTGAGCTCAACACATTGAGATGAAATGAATGTGTCGGGTTGAAAGAAACCAAAGGGATAGTTGGCAAGACAGGCAAAAGCAACATCCATAAAAGGGGAAAAGTATAGGATTTCAAAAAACATCCCATAAGGTTAAATCGTATTAAGCTGCCATTTGAGTTAAGCTAAACTTGGAGTTTCCTTCATTAAGTAGGCCTAATGGTCGGACTCGGATTAAAAAACAAGTGGTTGAAAATCTGATAAGAAAGGATTATTTTGAGAGTTGATTTCTGATTTTATGGATGGAATATGGGAATAACTTGAGCAGCCATAGAGACTCTGCCTGTATGCTTCTTACTGGTTTTAATGGTGTGTAAGGTTCTGAAAGCCATGTCCTCAACAGAAGCACTTTAGATGAATTCTCAATCAATAGAATTATCATTAACACTCCGGTCATAGGTCACTCTCAATACTATTGTCTCCTTTCTACAGTTGACTGATTCAGCAATGAGAAAACGTGTTTTCCCATGATGACATCTGGCACAAATCTTGGGAAATTGGAATCAGCAGAGATGTTTTGTTTCTGCTTTGATTTGGTAGTTCCTTCCTGCCAGGAATCTCCCTGCTGTATAGGCGTTATGTATCTGCGCACTGGTCGCCTACAGGGCGGTGGCTGCGCAAGCATGTCCAAGAGCGGGACGGTCTGTGTGGAGTTGAGGGAGTTGTCATGAGGAAGGGACTGATGCCTGGCTGCAGAGAGGCTTCACATACTGTACGCAACCCTACCTGCGTCTGATCGCAGCAGCCCAACTTTGAATGAGCAACTGCATGGCTTGCATACCGACAGTCCTGGAAAATGCGTCCGCGCACACAGATCATTTCAACACTTATAAACACAGTGCGCACACTGCTCAAGACAAAAGCTCAACTCAAATGATGCCATCGAATAATGATTATCACACTGATTGAAAGTAATGTGTGAAATGACTTAAACAGACAAAATAGAGCAGACATTATGACTTTAAAATGATCCACCCAATGATACCGGACCGGTCACACAATAAAAAAGACGCACGCCACCAGCTGCTGTAACCTCTCGTGCACCCCTGTGTCCGCTACAGGGGACATAACTGGATGACCATGCAAACAGGAGAACTCATCTGCAGCCTGGTGTTTTATCTGCCACTTCATACCAAAGAAAAGGCATCATTCAAGTTGTCTCCGACACAAAAACTTGCAGCCGCATTCTGCTGCCCATTGCGCCGCACAATTCAACTTCCAGGCATTCCAGCACAGCCGGCTCTGACATCTGTCCCCCGGCCAAAAGCACAACATTTTAGGGCAACACTCTTTCTATGGAACACTGGGACTCACGTGTGACATGATCACATATGATGTTTACACTTAACGCAGCCACCACCTCGCACCACGCCCGTCCACACAGCAGCATCACCCAGCGCTCACCTTTAAACACGCTTGCACAGAGGCTGTAAAGGATGAAGACAAAGTGCTGCTTGAAAATCATATTCTTCTCTTTTTTCCTTCACAATTCTACGTCGACACTCCGCTCCGGTTTTTTTTTTCTGTCCTCTTTCTGTCTCTTCTCCTCGGGGTGGACTTATCCAGGTACACGGCGCAGTTTCGGACAGACCGGAGTTACATTGATGAACTCTGCCTTTTTCTTCCAGAGAAGTCGCTGTGTATGTTCGCAGATCCAGGGGAAGTGGTTACCAGTGTAGCAGGACGGCAGAGATGCTCGTCGGCAAAGTGCAGCTCCTGCCTCCCTTTATTGCCTTTCTCTTTGACTCGCTGCAGAGAGCAAGAGTCCCGCCCACGCTTTTTGACTAATGAAGACGCTTTGTCAATGGAGAACACCTAGAAATAGTTCTGATCTCTGATAAACTGTCAAAACAAATACACCGTGTCACACACTTTCTAACAGAATTTTGGAGAGGGAACATAATTCTCTGATCAGTTTTTGGAGGATCATTTAGAAAATGTCACAGCAGAACAAAATGCCCCTGCAGGATAATAGCTTAAACCCATCATAACAATATCATAAAATATATAAAAAGGTCATGAGGGCCCAACACAAACCCTCTCCAAGGCTGAAAAATGAAGCAATAATGATGCTCTCTACTCCGATATTTTATATTATTTGACAGTGTGAGTCTGAGAGAGCAGAACAAAAACCATGACAGCAATTTAATGTATTAAAATATGCCCACAGCTAGCAGAGTTAATTTTACACTTTTAGACAATTTTGAACAGCCGCCCCAGAACCGCAACAGCTTTATGAGCCTGCAGTCAACACAAGACAAGTTAAAATAAGTGTCAGTGCAAAATTGACACTCATTATCACTTGGAACATTTTACATCCACACACTGAGTATATTTCTCAGAGACCTGGAAATACAATAAGCAAAACAGAAGACATGCTATTATTTGTAAAACAAAAAAAAAGCTTTTTTCCAAAGGTTGCGACCTGGTGTTTGGGTGTGTGTCAGGAAATCAGTGCACAGGCCAAGAGGAGGCTAATGGGCTCCTGGACATCCCTTTTCCTTCAAAGGCTCCTATGAGTGGTGCACAGGAATGAGTGTGACCATCAAAGACAGAGGTGGGGGGGGAAAGCAGCGGCTGCAGCCAGGGGTCTTTTTCTAAGCCCATCGCAGGGATTTTACACATGGTTTAACATGCTGCCGGTCGAATTTGGTTCAATTTAGCATGGTGGCCTTCCACGCCACTCCCACTTCAAATCAAATTGCTGACCTGGCTATACCACCTGAGAAAAAGCTGTGCTGCTGAAAATATATATTCCAGGCTGCTAAAACCCCCAGATTTCTCGCTGTAGGAATAAATGTAAATGACATGTGCAGCTTGGCCGGTCATTAACAAGCAATCAGCTGGATCACTCATTTTCATTGCCAACCAAGAAATAAATGCAGCGGTTCTCGGCGTATTCTAATCCATTACAGCTTTTAATCAGAATGGGTCCAATAGAGGGCCTTTTACCAAGACGTGCACTCATTCACTTTCGTATGCTGATGCTGCGTTTTAGCCTTTTAACTTGGAACAACACACATCTCTATTCCCTGGGAAACCTTTGTTGCCTTTGTGAACTGTAAACCCTGAAGGACTGAGCACTTCTGTGTGTCATACATTCTCAATAAAACCGACTTATAATTCAGAGCAGAACTATACAAAGCCAATTACCATGAGGATGGTGCTAAAGAATCAATCCCATGTGTGTCATGAAGGTCACTTTCTCATCCTTTCATTAGATCTTTGAGAGTAGAATTCCACTCATGTCCCTTTTAAAAAGTGAGCATTTATTGACCATGTGGGTTCAGCAGAAAGGTGATGACACCGATCTGTAATGCAGAGGAGCATGTTATAATTTGCATTTATCTCTTTTACTCTGTGCTCTGTGTCATAATATCGAATGATGTGCTTTGTTAAATTTAACAAGGTCACAATTCACAGTACAGTTTTTTAAATTGTATTAATCATTTCAATAGTTTCCACTTGATATTAAAATATAAAACGCTATGTTTAATTCCAACAAAGAATCCAAACAAAAGCAAAAGACAATACTTTCGGCTTAGGTGAATTACATTAATATGCATTAACCTGTCACTGATAGCATTTAATCCTCCTTGCTGATTGAAAAACAACTCATCCGGACAAACTTGGTGCACAATCCATTTCAGGATGGGCCTGAATGACAGCAGACGTGAAGGCTGAATGCTTTATGTAAATGGAGAGTGATGAAGTGCTGCACACTGGATCAGTACATGGGCTGTGTCAATCTATTTGTTGTTTATAAATATTGTTGACAATACCATATCCCCTTACAAGATTTAACATTTTGGATAACATTTATCTTCAGAGTCAACATTTAACGATCTTACAATGAAACCTAAATTACAATGATTTAAAAATAATAACCTTGCTACAGTACAGTGTATATATCCTCTCATGTTTTGTAACATCAAGATTTAGAGAAAAATACAGGATATTGCCTTTTCCTTACTTTGAAGACAATATAAATTCCTGTTGTCAATGAGACAGTGCATGGCCTGCAGCACTGTTTCCTTCTGCTTAGATTGTGAAATAGACTGATTGATAAATCACTCAGACATCAGATAATTGGCTTCAATACATGTATGCATAACCGTTAACGGTATAGATGTTTGACAGACCTTTGAATATAGTGGAAGACCAGGTAAAAAAAGGTATTTTCTTTTCTTCATAAAACAAACAAACAAACAAACAAAGAAGTATATCATTATTTTATATCAGCCTTAGCCCTTCCGCTCTCTAAATATTAGCCTCAAACATTGAAAAATCCATTATGCGTCGACCCACTAGTCTGAGATATTTAATGTAATTATATCTTTTTTTCGATTAGATAGAATGTCCATCAGAAACCATTTAAAAGTTTAACTTTCAATTTCAAAATGTTATGATCCGTACTTATCTTGGTAGACATTCTTAGATAATTTGGTTAGAATAAAGGCTTTAAAGTGCACCTATCATGCTATTTGTAGGCATATATTATGGGTCTCAGATATATACAAATATATAAAAAATGTCTATGATGTGTTTTTCTCAAAATACAAACAGATCATGCATTTTAGACATCCCTCATATCCCTCTATTCCAGCCCTGTTAGGCTGACACCAAATAACTGACACAGACGGACCCGACTGTTGTGTCGCCTCGCGTCTCCTGCGTCTTGGCCAACAGTCGCACTGGAACACATCGCAAAGACTTCAGCCGACGGCCAAGTAGCACGTACGAACTGCGCATGCATGAGTGGCAATAACTCTCCTTACCAGCAGGCGGCGGTAGTGTGTATTCGTCATTCAAAAGAGGCAACAACCGGAAGACAGACTGCGTGATACACCGAGAGAAGAAGAACAGACTGCGTGATATAAACAAACAACAAATAGCGTGTGCGTTCCATTTTCACTCTACAACGAGAAGCTCATGGGGCTTTCCCGAACCTGTGTCGAGAGCCGGAGTTAAATGAAATCGTTTGTTTGGGTCCCTCACTTCCGTTTCGCTTCTCATGCACTGATTCGCTAGCTGAACAGCCAATCAGAGTGATTTATTTGACCGACAGCCTTTGGCCAAAAAGGTGTCGGCACGGCCAAAAAGACACGACGGTGCGGGACACACCAATCTGAGTAGGGCGACAGGACGCTCATCGTCGGCCAGACATCCATCGACGGCCAAAATCGGCTTGGTGTGTCCGGGGCTTTAGACATCCCTCATATCCCTCTATTCCAGCCCTGTTTAGAGAAACGCAGACTTTGGGTCCTTAGCTTTAAAAAAACAAAACAAGAGGAGGCGGGGCTAATGCCTGATCAGAATTCTACCGGAGATAAAGTTAAATTCTGCTGTGATAAAACACCATCATGTTCTAAACCACATCAAGGATTATTGCTGAAACAGTATGGAGCTCAAATTATTTTTCTCTGACAGGTTTACCACAAAGTGAGTTCCTTTTTTTATTTCCTGCTTTTTAAACACATTTGCTCTCCAGTACAGGTTAGCTCTGAGTGTTAGCGATGCTTGCTCATGTAAAAAAAATACCATATTACGTCCAAAACACGTCAGGCATTGTTTCTGATAGCAACTCTCTGTGGGTCCACCATCCGAAATTACGTCATATCGGCAGCAAATCTGTATCCGCTCGTTGTACCCCCATTTTTAAAAGATGTGGGTACGGAGGAAAAGAGAAAGGGTTTTATTTTCTGACGCTGCGTGAGTTTCCCGACACACCGGGGACACGTATAAAAGACATCAAAAAGTGCATTTTGCATGATAGGTCCAGAGATGGAGTACTCGAGTCCTGGACTCGGACTCGAGTCGGACTCGAGTGCCGATTTTCGGGACTCGTGACTCGACTCGGACTCGCGCACTGATTGACGCGACTCGGACTTGGACTCGTGAATTCTCGCGCACGATGACTTGGACTCGGACTCGGACTCGTGAATTATCGCGTACGCTGACTTGGACTCGGACTCGGACTCGTGAATTTTTCCCCCCACAATGACTCGGACTCGACTTGTACATTGACCTCCGACTTGGACTCGGACTCGAGCAAGTTTTCTATGGAGTCTGATGTCCTCTATCCTGGCGTGTGCACCGGCTGCGAGGCGAGTTCACGTACTGGGCCCCGCTATTCCAGTCTAAAGATGTCTAGAGACACACCCCGCATCGTGCTGTATGCTTTCACACATTCTGCTTCCACATTGGAAAAGAGCAGCGCAAAATGCTCTATGTGGAAACAATATTGAAGAGAAGGCTCCGTAACACATTACTCTAAACATCGAGTTCAGACATATAGGCTGTCTTGAACACTATCATCAGAGTAACGTGATCTAATCAATAAATAAAGATTCAGCCGATAACACGAAAGCACATGGCTACTTAACATGCAGAATTACGTCATTTTGCATGCTAAGTAGCCATGTGCTTTCTGGGGCTAAATCTTTATCAGTAAACCGATTTAACCGGTAAAAGTTCCTTCAAAATAAGAGTCCCGATCTTATTACTACCAAAATAAAAGTGCAAAACGAAAACTTTACCATAGGAAAATATTGGCTTACAAATATAATCACTTCTCTAAAAGGTAACTCATTTTAAACATAGTTTATTTATATATAATAATAATAATATTAATATTAGTAATAAGCTTTATATTTGTATAGCACCTATTACAAGAATTGTAGCCA